AATTTGCCTGTGTTCTTTGTGGTAATGCTGACGTTTACATAAAAAGCATTTTGAATCAAGTCACGAATGATATTTTAACTATTCATGCTTTCATACAGAACTATAAAAGCAAGGAACCAAAAGATTTCAAGCACCGTTTCTCTTGTACCTGTAAAGTCCCAAACCATTATAAAACTTTATCAAAAGCAACATTTTCTAATTCCATGAGCGACATGCGACGATGGGCATGACAGTGAAAAAAGTTAAAGACTTATGTCAAAGATCTTTGTCGTAAATTTATCTTTTATTCATCTATACGTTTAGTTTTTTCTTGACGGAGGTTATCGAAAAAGTAGTGATACTTACAAAACATGTATTTTGCTTCCACGTCTTACAAAAGCTCGACCTTGCGACTGCACCACACATACTGTTGCGTCTCAGCTCTACTGTGTCCAACCGTGAAGTGAATATCCTGAATGACAGCTCGCACTACAGTGAGCAACACATTGTTATGCAAATTACAACAAGCACGGCTCATTTCAGACGAGGGAGTGTGGCTGAACTGTTCACGAATGTGCAGGGTCAAAATACATGTAGATATGACTAATGCCCACCTCTTGTTGTAATGCATTACTTTATTCCAGCTAAATAACACGACCCTCTTCCATCAGGCAGTTTCATGTCCTCGTGAAAGTTCACTTCCACAAAACTCAACAACAGGGGGAAGAAGGTGGTTGTTGACAATTCTCCGTCCCAGGGGCGGATTGTTTGAAGGGGGGTCCGCGGATGCGAAGCCAACCCTCACCCACCTAGGCATGGGGTTCGGGGCCCTTTAGCGGGCCCCGCAAAATTTTGGTATTTTAGAGTGCGAACGGCGCCATTTGGTACGATTTAGAACTAAGCTAGTCAAAATTCTAATTTCAAGAGGGGACCGTTGGTGTGATTTTCTTTCAGGAATCGAAGGTGAGGGGGGGGGGGGGCTTAGGACCCCCTGACAGCCCCATAAACCCGCCACTTGTCCCATACACAAACGAGAGCTACGGGCTTACCTTTCGAACATGTCAAACTGAGATGCAAAGATACCGCCTGTTGCATGAACGTTTCTTTTATTATTATTAATTTGTTTTCATGCAACATTTGCTAAGTGAACAATCCTGGCCTCACTCTTATAAGTTGCCATAAAAATGGCTTGAAATAGTAAATGACTGACTCAATACGACGTGTCTATCTTTTGTTGTTGTTTTTTATTTATTGAAAATCAGTTCTAGGAATCATATAAACAAAATTATTTTTGGTGCTTTATTGTCTTTGTATTATCCGACCTTCGACATGGCCGTGTCCATAGCAACATCTTTTCCAACATCAATGACTTGATCACGCATTAACTTATAGCCCTCATAATCCGGCATTTCTATTCCAACGCCGGCTCCAGCGTCTTTAAAAAGACGATAACCTGGAAATAAATGGTGAATTTATGTATTTTTCATTATATAAAAGCAACCAAAGCAATATTCATTTTTTTTTCTTTTTTCGAAACATGTTTAGACAAATAACTGGCAATATCCAGGGGCGGATTTAGGCCGTCTTCTGGGTCTTCCGGAAGACGGTCAGATTTTCAAGTTTACATAGACGGGTATCTAACTTTTTCTGTCGGAAGACGGTCAAAAATGAGGATGGATCAACAAAGATCATTTGGAAGACTGTCAGAAAATATCTCTGGATCCGCCCCTGATATCAACATATTAACGAAAAAGACAAATACACACAAAAAAAGCAACAGAGGCTGAATCGCAGACTTTAGGTAAGTGCAGTAGAAATACATGAGGCGCTCACAGAATATTCATGAATAATTTCTGGAAAAAGAATCTTTATTTCACAGAATATTTTAGAATAGTTTGTGTGAAAAAATTATTTACCTGGGTCTCTGCAACAGCAGCAATCAAGACACATAAGGCAGTTTCTTTTACAAGCGGCGAAAGAAGCTGCGCAAACTTTTATCACAGGCATAACGCAAGTACAGCAACAACACAGAAAAGCCGCAGTAGCCACAAGGCCTATGATCAGGAATGGTTTGATTTTTTCCTTGATTTTATCCAATAATGTCTTCTCCTCGTCCTCTGCCTATAAAGAAAAAGACCGCATTTGAGAAATTTAAGAACGGCGCTACACTGGCATCAAGGTTGAATAGACCTTATGAATTGATCTTTTCTTTCACTGTATCCATTAATCATCTTATTCATTGGTTACAAACCGTCAAAGCAGTAGTCCTAGTTCTGTACCAAGAACTAAAATAAGCTTGTTTTTTTTTAAATCTTTTTTAGATAATATTAATTATAACAACTTGATAAACAATGCATCTATCCGAAAAACATTAATGTTGGCAACAATATAATTTTCTTTTATATGAACGATCGAGTAATCTTCTTTCTTTGGTAAAAAAAAGTAAATTATTTATACATCACAGGAAATAGTCATCAAAATCTAGTGTAGTATATTTAGGAGAAAATTGACAGATAGATTGATAGCTTTGTGGGTAAACGTTAAAAGAAATTTATTATAATACTTCCGAGCTCAAATATTGTTTTTAGCGTTATTGTACAATTATTTAACAATTACAGAAAAAAAGGACACGAGCTATAACTATAATAGTGATAAAGATTGAGAGCTTACCGATAACCTGACCAATACAATCGATATAACTCGAGAATACTGTAGGCCTATATGATTGTGACTGCACTTGAAATGTCCCAGTTTTATTAATCTCCCCCAATGTAGACTTTTAACTCTTAGAGGAAGCAAACGGTTTTGAAAAAAGCTCATCTCTTTTTAATAGTAAAACATGATAATTTTAACAATTACTTTTAACCCTTCTTTTTATTTCTGCCGGTACTTTTGTCCGATTTTATCTTAATTTTATTTATCTGTTTGATCTTTCTTAAGCCTGAGATGGTAAAAAATTCCCGTTTGTGTGTATTTAATAATATATATATATAGGGGTTGAATAAACTTTATTATTATTATTTCTTGATATCAGATGAGGCACACAGCAAGTTTTCTTACATCGTATGCATCATATGAATAATCGTAATCCGGATCGGCTGTTGTTGCAGCTCTCTTGGAAATGGAACGCTTTTTGGTTCGCAATTCTATGTGGTTCCACTGTAGAACAATTTCATTTGATCTGTTTCGTATATCATTTTGAAGTGCGGCTGTTGCGGTGATATTTCTCTTAACTGACAGAGTGAAGGTATCTGGAAAAAAATTTAAGTAATAAAAATCTTTTTTCTTTCTTTTTAAAATTTTTAAAAATCTAAAAATTAAAGATTAATTTAATATTTTATATATAATATTTAATATTTTCCTTCATTTTCATTCATCTACTAAATGTGTTTATATCAATAAATAAACAAACAAATAAATTAGTAAAATAAGTTTGGTTTGGTAATTATATAATCTTCGTAAATTTCTGATGGAGACCTAGTCATAAACATGTTTAATATTGATCGACTTAAACGAGAACCAAATATAATCTTAAATAAATATACGATTGGAAAGGGAAATATTATCCATATAAATGCAGCTTCTTTCACGACAGACCCGCAGAGTATCTCAAGTTCAAAATGGTAAAATTACGTTTTAAGTGCACCTATTTCTATTTTAGAAAAATGTAACGATAATCGTGAACATCAATATTCAAGTGAATATGCCCTTGATAAATCCCATACCTGTTGGTTTCCAGAGAGCTGCCAAAATGAAGAAAAGGACAGCATTACAGACCATTCCTGCTTTCTTTTTGGTAAAACCAACGTCTTTAGCATTATGACGTAATAAAAGACTATAACCCATAGCAATATGACGTCACAACAACGTTATGATATCATAATTTTTCGTCTTCCATGACGGGATAAGATAACTACATTTTAAATTAGCTGGTGAATAATTATCTGCATTCCCTATGTGTGAAAAGATAAGGAATATTGGCCGAGGTCGAATCTTAATGAAAAAGAAGAGGAAAAAGAAAGAAATGACAGAATTTGAACCAAGTCGTTTCAAGCTGCTGGGGTTTTAACCTATGCCATTCTTTCAAATGATTCGCCATACCCTGAGTGTCAGAGCACAGTAAAAGCTAGTTTTTTAAAAATCTTGTGATGGGATCGTTTTTACTAGTTTTGCTGATATGGGTTATATATGAAATCAAGATCGAGCTGGCAAAACTGGAATCTAGAACCTAGGGTACTTCGCCACGACACAGTCAAACAAAATAAATAGATGCATGTCATATGGTCTTCCGTGTTGGCATATGTCTTTATTTATTGTAAAAACGCTATCTTAAAAGAAATATGGCAAATATAGCGAAGCAGTTTGACCAAAATTTGGCATGTAACTGTTTGCCGAGATTTCTCCCAATTATGTCTACCATACACTTCACTGATTCAAAAGAAACAAGTAAAGCAGCAAACATTGTATATGCTCGGTGCCATCTATGACTTTTTTATACGGCAGTTGAACTAAGAAATAAACAATATCAATCACTATGGATGGAATGCATAAAACCAAATTTTGTACTATCCCCGAAGTAAAGCCTAGATTACATTTGGCACGGGCATCGTACGATTTTCCGTACGTTTTTTATTTTTTTTTGACATAGTAGTAGCTACAGACTAAAGCGTATGTTTACATTACATAGGGCGTTTCGTGCCATTTCTCCGACATAACCTTGAGATCGGATAGTGGGAAATTGGTTTTTCGATTGAAAAGTGATCGGACGGAGCCCGTTCAGTTTCAGTGCAATTAGTTGCAGCACGCCTTCCACGACGCCTTCTCGAATATCGATATGTTGTCGCTGCAGCCCACTACGATTTTTTCACCCCTATAGTCAAAATTAAGAAAAAATTCAAATTTATGCAAGAAATCGCCCATTTCCAAACGTTTAATGTCTAATTCTGAAAAGTCTTCCGTCCCCGTCCCCAAATTATTTCATGAAAAAAAAAATACAAATACCATATGATTTCATTTCTCTTTTATTTAGTCACTGTAACTGATGTCATATTCTGTTTACACAGAAATACAATGCACGCGAATTCAAATTACAATGTACATGACATACCACACTCAAGTAGTGATGCCCTTTTTAGCTAAAGCTGGTGTCAGTTAAGTTATGTGATAATCTTACTTTTCTCTCTTTATATTTACTTTGCAAACTTGTATCTCCGAACATCTATACCCAACAGCAAAGTTACCAGCCAATCATAACGTAGTAGATATGCGCAAACAAGCAAATGTTTTTGAGGAAATATCAATTTACGGAATACCAGTATTTCATAAGAGTGGTTGCTTGGTGTGGTCTTTCCAGCGCCTCTTTTTCAACATTAGGATATTCCAAACAATAATCATTATTTGACAACACTGAAATGTACAAGATTGTAGCTCCATCTATTGGCTACAAATTGTCAGGTATTTTTTTGTTCCTGGAATGAAGGCCGCAATTTGTGACACCTTTTTACAGTAGGTTTGCAGTATGCGGTAGACTGAAATAAAGGCATATAAAGCCAATAACAAACAAGACAAATACAAATAAATACAAATATTGCAGAAATACAAGCATATACTTGTCACATATTCTAATTCAGAACTAAAATATGTGATGGGTTCATTTTTAAGTTAATTTATATACATAAATGTAGCATCATTTAAATGTTTTTACAGCTCAACATGCTTTTCTACTTTACAATGTACATGGTCACATGAAACAGAATCACAAAACATTAAAACATTGCACATTATTGGAGTATATTGACTTTAACAGTATTAATACAGTATTTAAATGGTGACATTGATATCAAGTTGTATAATTGTAAACTACAATACTTGGTTGGAAGTCTTCTTATTTAAAGACAATTTCTAGTTTAGACTTTTTCCACTGAAATACTTTCAAAACTTGCACATACTTTCCTAAAAGACTTGTGAGACAATTTTATGTGAATATAAACATACATATTTCCAACAAATAATACCCTCTATTTTCAGCTGTGTAATAAAGTGGTCAGAAGAATGTTTAAGTGCTATTTCTTTGCTTAAGATCTACAATTCTGTTATGTTTTGGTAGAGGTATTGTTGTATTTTTTAAAAATCACTTAATATAAAGATGAAAGTGAAACTTTTAGAAGTCACAAGTCCTAGTATCCTTATATTTTGTAAACACTGTAATAAATATTGTATAAATTTAACAGGATCTCTGATAAAGCAAGAGGATTTCTTCTACTGTTTACATTGAACACAGATCAAAACTTCTTTTACAAGGATGAATAGCTGGTATGTTTTAAAATTTCTCTCTGAATATTAAGTGCATTGCCCATTAAAGACTTCCATATATCAAACAGTATTTTACAACAAGATGCCCAATCTGAACTTGTATACAAATAGTTGAATCATCAACTACTCATAAAGCTACCATAACCTTATATTATGAATGACTTTGCTCTGTGAGCATTGCACAAAGAGAAAATTCTTTTATCACTTATCATACACTTTGAATAAACCCCAATACAACTTTTTGTTTTTCTTAAAATTTCTTTGGCTTTCTTGGTCTCCCTCAGTGGTAATGTTTATCAGACAGTTAAGAAACCTTTCCTTATCCCCATTATATATGTACTTTAAATCTCCCTCAATGTCAAGCTTTGCTGGTGAGAGCGTCCGAGGCCTCTTGTGCCCGCAGAATGTTGTGACAGGCAAGGCAGACGCGGACAGGTTTGTGAATTCGTAAACGTGGGATTTCTATTTCAAATTTGCTGCATCTGAAATGATAAGATGGGAAATTATAAATATTTTTGATCAATGTTAAGTGAAATTTGTTCCAGGTATAAAGAGTATTATTGTCCACCTTCATCTGCAAAGAAAATCAAACTGGCAATATCTATTTCACTCAGATAATTTACAGCCAAATCTGAAAGAACCAGCCTCAAGATGTTTGCAATCTTTCTATTAGTGACCTGAAGATAAGCTGTTAAATAAAAAGCATTCTGATTTTGAAATATAAAAGATTACAAACTATGTGCCTTAGCTGTTTCACTGTTTATATCAGCTGTCTTACCAATACTTTGAAACCACTGCATTTAAAAAAATTTAAGAGACTTAATACTTAAAAACAAAAAGCCACTGAGGGCAATTAACAATATTGTAGTAGTTATGTGATGCAGATTTTACATATACCATGCTTCCAGGCATTATATAAACTTACCTTACAATTCGTAGGCACACAAAATTTAGTCTTTTATTTTGACACGATTGGTGAATTTATGAATAACACTATTTGTAACACAATATTAAAAGCTGTACTTGGACAACTCTGTGTGGACTTTGCCAAAACTCATACATGCTAAGTCACAGGGAGTATATATACTATAACAGCCTACTGTTTGAAGTGAGTTACTACATGATGGTAAAAAGATTTTTCAGTTAAAAAGAATGAAAAATAATAATAATACTGATACATCTGATATAAAGATGTCATGCAGCACGCGAGGACATTGATATAAGATGCTGGTAACTTGTTACAGGGTTTACAGTACTAAAACAACAACATAATTAAAACTGATTTTGTTGCTGCAATATCTAAGGTTAGCATTACTTACTCTTTCCCTTTGGCAAAAGCAGATTGTTTCCTCTGATATAGCAAATCAATGTCTTAGCACAAAATGTTGAAATTCAAATCAAACATCAATCTCAGTTGTATTTTGAAATGTTACACAAAATTGATCTAAAAAGTACAAAAAGTACAAAAAACCAAACAGGAAAAAAAAATCAAAATTAAGCTAAATTTTAAAATCATTATTAGGTGGAAATACATCTGCCACTGCACTATAATACTGGACAACAGAGACTAAACTCTAGAAAAGAAAAGAAAATGTCTTTGGTACATTCACACACATAACATAGAATGATTTTCAATCATTCTATATTGTTGTATCATCAGCTGTTATTGTAATAAGATCATTTTTGCACACCATGAAAGTTTACACAAAAACTGGCCACAGTGTAGTAAATCAGGAAAAAAAATTTTCAAATTTTATTGAAATAAATGGACACAACAAACAAATGGGCAATTAAAACAAACTTTTCACGAATTGAGATGTTATCATTCAAACATATGCCATTCTGGAGTATATCTAAATGAAAGTTTTTGTATTCTAGTCAGGAAACAATGACACCTGATGACTTGTGAACATACCCTCACAAAAAAATAAATAAATAAATAAATGAGTGATCTAAAACTAAAAAAAAAAAAAAAAACCTACTTGGAACAGAACAACTGGCCACAGTTCCTACAGTGGTGCCTTCTCTCTGAGAAGGAAAATTTCACTCCACATGCCACACACACATCTGAAGTTTCATCCCTCACCCAATGGTCAGCTATCACACGTCCAGGCTGGTCAGTGACGCTCCAGCTGAACACCCTGCCTTTGGCGTCCCCTACAAACACTGTCTTATGGCACCTAGAAAAACAGCATCAATATGTAATATTATATATAATGTCGACTGAATATACTTCCCTCAACATCTAAAAACACCGTCTTTGAAAACAATTGAATGTTGTACTACAGATGCCATTTCTCTCACATCTACAAGTAAACCTCTTATGGTACCTAGATTTTAAGGGATAATATACATAATGCATTGATATTAATGGTGAGTGGCACTTTGATTGTATACCTCCCCTTCGCATATCTTAATACTTTCGGTACTTTAAAATAAGGGGATAAAATTATAAATAATGCAAAATGTCATAAAAAAATAACACTACTTTCACCACTATTTATATATATATATATTAGAATGTTAATGTATCTATGGAGTCAATTGCATTCATTACAAAATTATTCCCCAGTCCACTACATACTTAGATACTGCTAGGGCAGTAACAGCTGCTGGGTCTCTGTTGTCTTTCCTCTCATAAGCTGTGTGCATGGTCAGCTTACTACGGAACACCAGCTGTCTCTGCCACTTGAAACCTGCAACAATTTACACACAAACATTACAGTGAAGTTATAACTTCACCCTTAACATTTCAATTAGATTTTTTTTTAGAATTATTGAGTCAAATAGAAGCTTTGATATGGGTTACATAAAAGAAGCTTTTGGCATTATTCTCATCACAAAATAAAACAAAGAATACTTTGTTGCTGACTGTAATTGTTTTTAAAATGAAAACGACATACCATCTCTTAGCTTAACTGTTCCCTTTGTGCTGTACTTGAGTAAGCTATGAGCAGGACTTGGGGGTGCAGACTTGACATCTTGATCATCAATTATAACATAGTCAGAGATGGATGGAGAGGGGTTTACTCCAGGTTCAGATATCTTTGGAGCTTCAATTCCATTATGCCTTGTTAAGATATTCCCGTCCATAACATCTTCAGAATTATTTTCTGCCTGGTCTGATGGTACGGAGGCCTCTGACAGAGCTTCATCGGATATGAGATGCAGTCCACTGTTCCTTTTTAATGTCCCATCTCCACTATCATCTGATATGATATGTGCCCCACTGTTTCTTTTTAAAGTATCATCCCCGCCCTCATCAGACAGATTACGCCCACTGTCATTCCTTGTCAAGGTATCTGCCCCGCCTTCATCTGACAGACCACGCCCACTGCCATCTCTTGTCAAACCGTCCTCCCCATCTGTGGTCGCAGTGCTAGCTGTGCTAAATTCTCTACTGTAGTAACGTTCTAGATTAGAGCCCTCATCCACAGAGGAACTATAGTCTATAGAATCCTGGTCTCCATCCTGCATGTCTAATTTCTCAGTTGAAGAACATGCTGATAAATTATCGTCTGGAATGGACTTTGGCACAGATAAGTTTTTACTTTCTTCTTCCTCATCTTTCTCCACTTGTAGCCTCAGTTTGGCTTGCTCCTGCTTTCTATAGTATTCTTCAGTTGGCACTTGTACGTACTCCACACTGTACATCTGGCAATCGAAAAGGTTTAAAATTGTAATCAACTCCTTAACTCCTTGATAAATTCTATACCAAAGTACATGAAAAAAATGTGGGTAGCATTGATTGTAATAGCTAAATTTATATTCCAAACTGGTTAAAGTGCAATTGTCTCATTTTCATTCAAATGAAAAATCTGATAACAAATTTAGCGGTTTAGATTGCACCCTTATTACGAGACTTCAAGACAAAAATCAAAGCTTACTCTCACAACTCCATCACTGCTTCCAGTCAGTATGACATTCCTGCTGTCCCACTCCATCATCTACAACAAAGAGGATAGTTAACTGGGGATCGATTTTAAGGAATTTGGAAAATATAAAAGTTGTTACAAAGTCAATGGAAAAAGTGTTCAAATCCAGCCTTTCTGACATTTCAATCACCCCAAAACATGCAATAATATGACTTTTTAATACTTAAAAATACACAATTATTCTACAATTTGTTCAAGGTAAAATCTCAAACAAGAAAGAGCTTTATAATCTATGTCTTTATAGTTTTTCTTGTAATGTTCTTCCACCTTCACTTGGTGTGAAGTCTGTCAAATTGCACCTTCTACCTTTTAAGTCATAATACTGAGAATCCCCAGAATTGCTATACCTGAGAAAATTCTACACAAAGAATCTGCTGGTTCCTAGAGGTGGCTGTATTGACATGTGCAATCTCTTCTCCATTAATGTTCCACACATAGAGATATGTGCCTGCACATGTAGCTATATCTCCCTGAAAAGAAAATAGCATTATTCCTTCTTTAATGAAAAGAATACAGCAAGACATATTCTTCAATATCAACCTGAAATAATGGCTTACTGTTTAATCTTAACTGATAAAACAAAACACTTACATGTATAACCATTTTCATATTAGTAGAATATGTACAGTTCAATGTACCAGTTTTCAAATTTAATACACACATTTAAGTCACATGAAAAACATGCAAAACTACATTAACTTCATGCAACTACAGCATAAGTAATCATAATCAACAATAAAGTCAACATAAACATGTCCTCACTGTAAGTTCATTGATGGCAACTGCTGCCACTGGTGCCACATGTCCCCTCAGCTGCCGCACAAAATTCAGTCGGCTCAGATCCCACAGGATACAAGTCCTGTCTCGGGAGCCACTCACTATTAAGTTATAGGCTGCCGAGGCTGCTATACATGTGACTGGCTCCGTGTGACCATACAGTGGTCTCCGTAAGGAAAGCTGACGTTTATCTTTACCATCTCCTAGCTTCCAGACATTGACCACCTGGAATAGAACCATTGTTCTTTATCTCTATCTTATAAGATTAGAATTCGAGAATGAAAAGACTTGCCACTTTACTTTTACAATTATTTATTATGATAAACATCAATAAATTTACATTTTTTTTTCAATTTATGTGCATTAAAAATATTACAAAAGAAGAAGAAAAAATTAAGTAATGATCGTCCGATTTTAATACATTACAGCTATTATGTGATACAGCTGGATGTCTCCACTGTCAGTGGTTTAATTATCCTGTACCAAATATAACCCACACAGACTGGTGTCACTTACTGTACTAGTTCCTCCTGTGACCAGCACTCTGGCACTGGGGCAGGAAGCACACAGGATCTCATTACTGTCCAGGTTCTCAAACACTGAGATGGCCTGAAATTGTCACATAGTTACAAACAAAAATTCTGTCATGTTTCTGTTTTCAAGAGATTAGAATATTGACCTTTATGTTGAGCCTTCTTCATAATTAGCTCCACTTTATATCTTTTCATACCCAAATGCTTTTTTTATTTCCTCCCCCCACTTCCACAATAAATAAATAAATAAATAATCAGCTATATTCTGGACTTTGATAACTGCAGTCATGGTTAAAAGAGCAACAAACAAATCAAGCTAAATTACCTTGTCTGAGTCATATGCTCCTATCCTCAGACTGAGGTCAGCAAACCCCCACGCCAAGTAGCGGTTGAATATCGTGGGAATGAGGACTTTATTCTGTTCAACTGCCAGCACAGCTTTCTCAGTGTGCAAGATTTGCCCCACTGGGTTTTTGAGCTCTGTTAATAAAAAATAAATCGTCAGAATGGCCTGAAATTTGTATCTAGCAATTCTAACAATTGAATTATTTAATGTAGCTGAGCATGATTAAATCTAACAATAATCAAAATCTATCCTTATTTGTGGGTGACTCAAATTCTTAACATGAATCTTTTGAAGAAAACAGATGCTAACTCTTTCCCTATAATCTATATGCTGAAGTGATTTCACAACATATTATTTTTCAATTTGGCAATTATATAAGAGAATGGAATTCATGTAATTTGGCAGGTACCCTTGATAGGCTGCATGCTGGGCCTCAAGTTGTCCACATTGTGGAAGAACAGCTTGTCAGCCATGGAGTTTGGTGGAGAGTTAACAGGAACAGGCTCCAACTGCTTGATGTTCAACTTTTTGCTGGGATGGGGCTTCTTGAAAAGCTGCAAAAATGGTGAAATAAATCTGAGAGAAACCATTTTTTAAACATATTTAATTGAATATTTTCTCCTAATATAGACATATTTAAATTGCAAAATCATATTTTTTCAATTCTCAAAATCAAATCAAAATTATTAGAACCATACCTGTTTGGGTATTTGTCCAAAGTTATTGATAAATCCAATGGTGGCATTCTTTTTCAGTGGGTCATCAATTGTGTAGATGTCCACATTGCCCTCATAGAACAGGTGGTGGAATACATTGACCGCCTCCACTGCTGCTGGTCCCTGTTGTTTGTACCCAAAGATCAGGTCTATCCACTCATGGAGGTGAGCACTGACATAATCACATTCCAAAGCCTAGAAAATCAATCAGGCACAATTTGCTCATTATGAATATAAAATGTGCATCATAAATGTGCTCCTTTTTTCTCATTATCTTTGTCTTTTTTTACTATTAATCATATCAAAACATTCCATACCATACACTGCATGATTTATAAAATGGCAGTAAAACTGGAAGTTGCTGGCTGCTGGCCTGTTCAAGTACAATGATTTTTCATGGAGAAGGAGGATGTTCTTGTTTTTGTCATTTAAACATGACATCTTATACTTGTAATGTCATTTACAAATGTAAGAGCTAATAAAATATCAAGTTAAAACTGCAATAACAGAGACTGTTGAGGTATCACTTACTTCTCTGTGAGCCCTGATAAACTCACGTGGGTCTCCCTTTGCCCATGGTGGGAGTATAACATCTCCAAGAGGCACGCCACTCTGCTTTAAACCTAGATATCAATATAAACACCACATCAGGAATACATTCCAGTGGGACAGAGAAAAAAATTGTTTCACAAATGCTATAACTCATGTAAAACTCCTACTTATAAATAAAACACTTGCTAATATTCATATGAAACTCTTACTAAAATGAAATCCTCTATTGTAAAACCTTTAACAGTGGTGAGTGCTATGTTTTACTATGCTACACAGTACTACACATGTTACAATAAGTAATTTTGCAACCTGAAAACTTGTCAAATCCACAAAGAAACAAAATATACAATGTTCTTCCTCTTCTTCATACTTTCATTGTTTTTGTTCAAGTCACTGGACTTGGGTAATTTATACAAATCAAAGTTTAAAGACAAAATATACAATAACGATTTATTTTCTTCCTGTTTTTCTTACCCAAGTCAAAGTTATTAGAGTTGAGTAAGAAGTCTGGAAGGTAGAACAGTTCTGGAATGAGTTCCTTCACATCTGCCATGTTATTCTGTGAGGCAGAAAGCCACATTTCCTTCACACTGTGAAACATTCTGTCAGCAAGGTCAAAGTGACCACCCTAAAATGTAGATTTTTTAATTTAAACATTTGTATAGCATTCCATAATATTTATAAATGGATTCAAGTTCCAATACATGGCTACTTTGACTTTAAGCCAATAATATTAACAAACAGTTTTATTTTTCATTCAAAAATTTATTGAAAAATAAGGCTTTTCATAATACATTACAAGGCAATTATCTTCAGTTCAAATTTTAACAGAAATTTTTTCATGCTTTTCGACTCTTTGCCTTTTGAGGACAAAGTAGCAAAAAAAAAGGAACCTTTTCAAGTACTGATGTTTCCTCACCTGCAGCCTCAGGAAGTGCTGTGTGAAAGGCTCCATTCTAACCAGATAAGAGGCCACAATCATAGCAGAGGAATAGTGGGTACCATAATGGTAGGGTGGAGTCTCACCTTAAGAATACAAATCAGGCATTTCATTATCTGGCATAAAAAATAATTCATATATGTATACACTAATAAAACTGAATAGCTTATTGTTCTATCAATCACATTAAATTATTATAACCCGGAGTTTCACATACAATACATGTCCGCTTCTACACTATAAAATCTCCACATGTGCATGATTACTGGATAAATGACCATATGTGGGAATTTGAAAATGAAGAAGCTGGTTTGCATCAGATCTGAAACTTGTGACAAAAATTCTATTACTTTACTTTTAAGCAAGTTTTTACATGTTTTAATTGGACAACTAATGTTAAATCAGAAAGGTATGTAAAAAAAGTTTCAGCACACTTACCGGTAGGATCATCCCAATCTTTGTACCTCTTGATGAACTGCTTCAGTCTATTTGGAGTCTGGACTCCCATGGGTTTACTCAGGTCACGGAACGTTTCTGGCTGTGTTAAGTCCAACTCCTACACAAAGGAATATATTACTATTGAATTTTTGTGACAGGAAGAAAAACTGCTACTTTGAATATTTTTACAAGGAGGTGGCCTTTCAAAACACTAAATTTTGTCTGTTACCTTTAATACTATTACCCTGTATGTCAGTGTGTTAAGACATGACCATACCTCTGAGTCATAGTCAGCCACAATCCATGGGAACACAGGGTACTGCATGAGGTCATTGTAAGACCTGCCTGCCAGGGTGTTTAGATACATCAAGTACTGGAAGTTGGTGATCTCTCCTCGCTGGAATAAAATAATACAATGTAATGAAAAGATTCCTGATGTGCAGCATTACCTTATTAATTACTACTGTGAATAAGGGAAGAGTTTTGATAGGAAGTGATGTGTTTTCTTATTCTTAAAATCTAATGCTTTCACTGTAACTTACCTCCCATCTTTGAGTAACAGACTTCTCTCCAATTAAACTACTGATGATGCCAGTCCTGAAAAGTGATCAATAAATATTCTCTCTATATCATATCCTTTGATAGATGAGGGAAACATGCCAATATTGTAATCGGCCTTGCATTGTTATTTTTCATGTTTTGATCTTAACAATTTTAATTGTTAAGATCAAATCAAAATTAAAATTAAAATTTTCAAACATTTCTCAATGATTTTTCTTATAATTGAGATATTCACTGCTATTACCACATCATCAATTTGATATTATTTAAGTATTTTTTTTCACTCACCCTGGTTCAATCTTGGCATTCTGTTTCTGGCCAGCCACAGACTGCTGGGCATTATCAGTGAGAGAGGATGCCACAGCCATGAACCTGGCATACACCTTGTTCCGGATTTTCTTAGGGAAGGACAGAAGGAAATTTCTACCGTCTGCTGAGAACACCTCAATGGCTATAGGCTGCAGCAGGTATCTTCTCTTCAGGACCTCCTTGATGTCTTCGTAGTTGAATTTGCTGCACCTGAATGTACAAAAGTGTAATTTTGATAGAAATGGTATCTGAAGGCTTTTGTCTAATAACTAACATGCTGGATTTCGAATACAATATGCAACATGTACTACATGCCTGCCCATGATCATCCTTACCTTTAACATGATGAGAATATAAGCATAGCAATGAAGCAACAACAACAACATGATCTCTAAGTACATATTTATATTTCTGAGATCCCTTTAGCTGCCTAGAATTGTACTTACAGTCTTTTCTGAGTTGTTCCACCAGTCCCCTTGGTAGGAATAATGGGGTCATGATACCTGAAACAAACAAGAAAGAATTCCGCCATGTTAAAACTTGAATGATAACTGATTCAGAAAAACATAGAAGAATATGCTACTTTCAAAAATAACTAGGCTTTGGCCACAGTATGCAATGATGTTAATTTGTCAAACTTAACTGACTGAAATATGTCCCAAAACTTTCCAAAACAAATTTGAGATTAAAAATAATTTTCATCGCATAAAATGCAGACAAGGAACATGCCACTTGCTGTATAAGAATAAATACAATACTCACTCAGGTGGCACACTATCAATATCAGCTATTTCCCTGGTACTGAGCAGTGTGAACCCATCCACTACATAGAAATGTTCCTTGCCAAACAGCAGCAGTCCCTCACATGTATCCAGACCTTGGATTCTGGCACAGCGGAACATGTGGGTGATCTAAATATACATATCAGTAACATAGATTAATATAATATGAAGCTGGGTTATAAGTAACAAAGTTGAACAAACTAAACAAATACAGTATTTGTGTCCATTTATAATTGCATAGCAACTGTCATAATCTCTGGCATCAAAATCCTTAAATAATCATAATGACTCATAAAATTCTAATCAAGCAATTCATTTCACCATCTATATGGATTCTTAACTTCTCCCTCAGTGAAAACTTACATTTCATTCTTAGGTATTTCTATCATTATGTCAACAAATCTCAAACCTTTTCTCCCTCATCCAGCAACCGCAGCAAAGTCTCGTTATCAGGTTTGTTGCCCTCTGCTCCAGGTTCAGCGCTCAGTAGATCCGTGTCCTGGTCTTCCTCCATCATGTTGTCTACACTGCCTCCTCCTGCACTACTGGCTCCCCCTACACTACTGCTAGATACACTGTTCATGCTTTTGTTACTATTGGCTCTACGTAGAAGGCTTGGTGGATTGAACACTGGAAGAAGAGAGTCACAGAGTATATACAGTATTACTAAAGATAGTCAAATGCATAAAAATGCCAATTTTATCAATATATGCTGAGAGCATATTGCCAATTAATAGTACAGACACAGAAAAAATTGTATATCTAAAAGAATCATTTTACTAGAAACGATGAATATTAGAAATACCGATAACAATACAACTTCAGCGGAACCAACTGTCCTATTTTTCTTAAACAGCAAATTTCATAAAAAAAAACAACAAATCTAATAGCATCTTCAGGTAAAACATAAGGTATAACGAGCCTTTCCTATGTTAAACAAATTGGAAATGTTAACTGTTACAGTCTTTAGAAACTATGTATAAAATTGAGTTCCAGTTAGTCCAGTAGTGGTCTAGCCCTTAACCTGCATTTCAATACTAGAGCACTTACAGCCCTCTCTGTTCTCCTCTATGGTCTCCATGTCCACAGAAGTAGGGGTGTCAGAGCCATCAGCCTGAAGCTGGGGTATGTTCTCATCTCCTACTAAACTATGGGAACGGAATCTTTTGTAGTATTTGGCACTGTCTCTGCTCACTGCAGTCTTGTACTTCACTGGTTTCTGAAGGATGAAGGTAACTTTTTGTATGTTTGACTTTATCATACTACTTTCCCGTATAATATTCAATGTATGTGAAATAATTGTTTCGTTTGTGTGAAAATTTAACATGATAAAAGCTGTAGAAAGATGGGAGCAAACAAATTAAGGCTCACATTCTCATCCTGCTTGATGTATGGGTACTGAATGTAGAACATGTCATTTTTCAGCATCTTCTTGCGCATGCGACAAGGACCTAAAAAAGAGACAACACTGTTAGCTACAATATGGCAATTAGCAGAGGTACACTTCATTAAATGTCTCATCTCTAAAAAAAGTGTAAACAGACAATGTTGGATACAAAAATAACACTTTCAACAAATGTAATATCATTCTGCCAAACTTAAAAAACAAATCATGTCAGTGGCACCTACCCTCTGTCATATCCAGTATCCACTTATCCAGACTGGATCCTACGGGTGGCCCCCACACACCCCTCTCCCTCATCAGTTCACTCTCAACTTGGGACCACTCATCTAGTAAGTATTTCTCCATGTGCTGCTGGGCCTATAATAGTATAATGAGGGTAATTTGTGTGAAAAATGTGGACTTATTTGTTATAACATTTTGTGCCAGTATTTAGTATTCAGCATACTGGCCCTTTGGGCAACTGTTTTCTTTAAAAAACTTCAAAATCTTTCTCCAGTACAAACCCAAGCCCAGTCTAAAGTGACAATAAACAAATATCAAAATATATGTTGTAATATGCAGTGCATATTATTGCATGCATGTGTACATGCACATTCCATATTTTTGTACTTTAAGAATTTTGTTCTCTTACCAGCATGTACTGATTTCTCTGCAGCTGCACCAAATCTTGTACCACGGCTATATGTGCCATGGTCCAGGTAATGCTCTCCTGGAACAGATAGCATTTGAGTTGTCATTAACACAACTACAGATAGCAAATCATTTTTTCACATATATATTTCCCTTTCCAATTCATTCAAGAGTCATTTCAGGTACTCATGAAAGGAAGAATGCAGTAGTAGAGCAAGAGATCATCTTAAAATGAAGAAGTAGGTATACTCACCTGTTTTGTAAGAGATATGGCTTTGACCGGGATTTCCTTCCTACTTCTTCTGCTGACTAGTCTCAAGGCACCACTACCAACTCTCTGGATTCTCTAAATGAGGGGGAAAAGTATTTCATACATATCACCGTCCACATCAATTGTAAATGCAGAGTATGCTTTTTTAAAGTTAACTGTGTCTTTCCCATTTGTGTACAGTCTATATTCATAAATGCCTTCTTAACTATTCAATGAGTCAACCACCATTCATAAAAGAATTAAGAAAAAAAAAAAGAATTAAACTACATCAGTTCTGTTGCAAACATTTTAAGCCTCTATAATTAAAACTGGGGTTCTTACAGACTGTAATTGCATTGTCAATTTCTCGGAATCCCTGAGGGATGTTCTCTTCTCATTTTCTAGGAACTGGTGCCAGACTCTGGAGGCAGCTTCTTGGATTTGCAACCTAAAAATTGAGAAACAAAAATTGGATTCGATAAATGTCAAAAGATGTGTATAAAAGGTAGTGTATAATCAACATTACCTATTAATATAAATGTGAAACACATTTCGTCTTCAAATTGAATCCATACCAATACTAACAATAAATCAACTGTTCTTAGATTTAAGTTTAAACCTTACAAGCCATTACTTTGTACTCTACCCTTAATAAAACAGAATATAGAAGTAAAATGCACCATATAATAACTGCCTTACCTGACACTGCTCAGCTCTGGGGTGTGTATTCTAGAGGCTCCCCCTACATCACCTCCATTCAAACTCACTTTAAACACTTCTTCGATAGCCTAAAGTACATTACAACACAACACATAACAGTACATAAAAAATAATTAAAAAAAAATTAATATGATAAATGTTAAGCTTTGCATTGTATTGTGTTAAACTAAGAACATATTGCTGCATGGTATACTCATAAGTAGTAAACAATAAATCTCTGGGTGAACATAACCATTGCCTCACAAAATGTAAACTATTGGTTTCAAGCAGGTACCCAACATATTTCTGAGACAAAAGCACTTTTCACATCAGGCAAATTACTTCATACAGGCTGTACTGGTACACTCTGAAAGGTCTTACATGCAATTATGCTACACTAGTACAGGGAACTTTACTCCCTTACACAAGTTCTCCAAGTTGTCCAGTTAAATCAGCTAATAGCCAGCTGATAGACAGCTAAGCTATTAAATTTTCAATCTCTCAAAGTGTATTGAAACAGACTGTGTGGTTAATTATCTCACTCAATGTGAAATGGGCCTTACAGGTTTCTTGCAAACATAGAGCTCCTCCCACACTCTCTTGGCAGCAGCTGCGACAAGGATCTGCCCCTCCTCATTCTTTGTCTTTTTATCTTCCTTCTCCAAGTCATCATCCGAGTCATGCACTGGAGCCACGTGCCATGTGGTGTTCTGGCTGATTGTCTCCTCACTGATTGTAAAGATTATTCATTAAGTTGAACCTTTATGTATAATAGAGGACAGGTACTGGTGTAGTATTAATAATACTTTCAAGGAATTTGTCTGGTTCATTTCAAACTAAGTGCAATTTGTGGAATAAAAGTTCTCCATGAAGGTGCTCTACATGTAATTTTTAATCTCAAAATTGATATTTTTTTATACCTTACATTATGGACATTTTCACAACAAGGGGTTGTAACAAATTTATGACAATAGGGAATTAATTACGTTACACTGAAATATGTTGATTAGCACATGTAAGTGGGATAAGAAAGGTAAAACAATATTCAATACAATTTAACATTCACTATCTTAAATACAAAGTCTTGGGCTATTCATAGATTTTCAAAACATCAGATATATGCTAGGAGACAAGAAAAAAATGAATATTTGAAGAAGATCATACAACAGCAATGAATTCTAAAAGCACAACAGTCAAAGCATAAAGCAATTTATAAAAATATAAAAGCCAGGATTTGAAAGAAGCAATTAAATATTTAATGGCTTCAACAAAATATAAGATGTTCAGACAATACAACAGATATACATGTCAAACTCATTTAAGAAGCAAAGTCAGTCTAACATGGATTTGATCAGATTCTTGTGTTTTGTTATATTGTATCATTCTTTTTGTCAGAGAAAATTACTGATAGACAAACATTTTAGTGTCTGTACATAAAAAGCAATGAAGAAAGTTGAAGGATTATGCATAACACATCAACAAGAAAGCCATAGCATTCCCTATAGCAACATTCTCACCATTCTGCATCGGAAGAATCCGAGTTGAAATTGATAACAAACCAATCAGACCATCGCTTCTTGCGTTGAAAACTGGGTCAGAAGGAGTGTAGAGAAAAAGATGAGACTAGCTATATTATAATACATACCTAAAGATATTATATGACCATGGCGATATACGCAGTTTTAGGGGTTTTATTCAGTGAAATTATCTCTTGGTATGAATGTCAAATAATACACTGCCACCCTCGTGTGAAATATGCCATTAACACCTTTGGCTGTTCTCGTGTTCTGGCATATATAACTTGAGTGACAGTCTATTATCTCACACCTCACTGGCTCATGGAAATAGGGAAGGCAGATGCAGGTTAAAAGGCACATGACTAATTAGGTGTGAGAGCACAAGTGTTGTTTGAATAGAGCGAATTTAAATAAAATAAATTTTAGTGAAGGAAAATTCTGATTTCCTCAGACAATTTCAGTGGTTGTTCTAATTATAGAAAGTACTGGTGACTAAACTTTCCAGAGTTACTAGTGGAATGGATTGATGTTGAAACAGTCAAATATGAAGAAAGAGGTCTAATTTAAGGAACATAAATTTTATCTTTAACTTAGGCCCCTGTTACACCAGGTTTCTCATCACTTGGATAATGGATTCTGTCCCACTCTCACCATTCAAAACATGTTCTTAAGGCAGTAGCAATCCCGGCATAACAGGGGTCTAAGTATCAGCCAAATAGGATGAATTTGTGTTGTAGATGATAAATAAACATTGTGATTCAGAAATGTCAGGTGACAAAATTTGTCATCTACCTGTCAAAGTGACACTCTACTGAACAGAACTCGACTAGTTCTGTGTTGCTCCCATTACGGTGAACTCTGAGATAATTGAAAGGAAAATTAAGTCAAGGCTCAGAATACTGACTTCAGAACCAGAATGCTTTAACTGGAATTAGTAGACAATTTATCAAGCTGTTAGATGTATGACCAAAAGCTATTTCATGCTGCCAAAGCTTTACATTTGCAAATTACTGAGAAAAACATGCATAATTTTCTCAACAGCCCTTGCTAAGGTAAAGGAAAAAAAAATTGTTGCAGCCCATCCCATTCACTTAGTCGATCACACAGTTAGCAGGACATAATAAGTGACAAACAGCCACAAGAAAAAAATATATATTCAGCAAAATTTCAAAATAACCTGATGTAATTTTAATCAGTTAAGATGGGATGAAAATGACCACTGCGAAGAAACTGAAAACTGTCATCAATTCTTGGTTGTCTGTTGCAATATCAATAAATTGATTTCACAGATGATTCTCATTCTTGTATAAATATGACATATAAAAACATCACATATATGCACCACTTACTTCACAGTGGGGATCCCAGAGTCATCGGTCAGTTGTAGCAAACAGTAACACAGACATCCTATGAACTCTTGGTCATAATTCCCAGGTCCAAACACCAGGCTCCTGTTACTGGTCAGTCTGTGCAGGGCGTCCAGCACACTCATCTGGGCTGGCACGGCATACGTGGGGCGGGAAAGGTGGTACAGGATTGTGCGATTTAGGCATTTGTAGATGGGGTCTAAGGAAACCCCAGAGGCTGAAAGAGCAAGGTGATATCTTATTTGCCTGTACATGTAGCTACTTGTACAAGAAGCTAAATAAGATCAATTTGTTAGTTTTTGGGTTTAGTGATGTAGATTTTTTAAAATAATCTAAAAAGCATTATTCTAACAGGTCACTGTAACTAGCGTTTAAGAGCAGCAATTAAGAAATATTATAGAGTTAAAGTACCAATATGTACCATCTAGAACATGGTTCACAACAGATTAGGTCAAACAAATACAATACCATACTTAGAATTTATTTTTAATTGCTTACCTCTTCTCTTTGCTTGTGCAATCAGTTTACTGACAAATTCAAACACATCTTTGGAGTCTCTGACATACATTCCTGGAAATATGAAAGCACCTTAATTAAATAAAACACACAAATTAACAGCACATTGCTCCCTCTAAATAATTCTATCAGTTATAAAATCTTCCATTCGTACTATTAGCTGACCAATGCAGCACATTACAGCACATTCACTTAAAGGGATAATAACTCTTCGTTTTGGCCAAAAAATGAATTTTCCCGGAGTAAACAACAATTTTCCCATGCTAACCAATGGTTAATGAATCCATTTTTACATTCAAAGTTAGTCCCTGGTTTTTTTCTAAAAAGTTTGGTTTTTTGTTAAAATCTCTTAAGAGATTTTAACAGTGTATAGCCATCAATGGAGGTCACGTCGTTTGAAGACCAGCTAAGATATCCGAATAATAGCTGTAACTGCTGTTTTTGTCGTAAAACAGAATATATTACATTTCAATGAGTTATTCACAATGTTTTTATTGTGAAATATAGACCTCATACGAAGAGTTATTATCCCTTTAACTCTAAATATTCCATGTATTTCTGATGTGAAACTGTAATGTGATTCCAAAATTCTCACCCTGCCACAGTTTATCCACCACCCTACTGGCAAAGTAGAAGACATTGTTGGCCACATTGTTATAGTTTCCTGAGGAAGAGATAGGCAGTGCAGCCTGCTCCCCCATTAAGGCATCTGCTGCCAGGAGATGGTCCATTAGACTTTTCAGCAGGGCAGTCTGGAACTCCTTCTGCTGCCGCCTGGTGGACTGTTCTGGTGCCGTCTGCCGAAATATATTCAAAAGTATATAGTGGAATAGTGAGACACAGTTTGCATCAACATAAAGTGAGCATGTTAAAAGTCAGCTTTTTTTATCAAAACATTTCCTCATAGTTTCTAACAACTTCTCACAATACAAAACAAAATTATGAAAACTAAATCTGATAATATTTCGTGTTTAAGTTGTAACAGCTGAATAAGTTGCAAGAAAAGTCTTAACNAGGATGTTAAACTATATATCATTTCATGACTCACGATACAAAAGAGTACAGAAGACGATCTTTCCAAGATACGCACATATGCGGTTCTGGGCGTTTGGGGTAAGCGATAACTGAACCGCACATATGCGGTGACGGGCTCTATGGGGTTAATGTATCTTACCTCTAACAACAGATCAATAACAGGCTGAGATTTTCCTTGGTTGGTGTGAGACAAGCTGTCCACTACTATCTGCCTCATAAAGTCGGTCACAAATTTCTTTGCAGGATGACCACACAGGTGTGCTGAGGAAGGAGAATTGTCCGGAGAGTTGACTACTAGCATGGGCTCTGAACCAGGGAGGGGCTAAAAAAATCAAACATACATAATCCTTTTAAAAAAATGTTAAAAGTAACAACCCAAAATTTGGTTAAAAGATTAATTTGCCTACAGGCTGCCATGAATCTTTCAAAATTTGCTTTTTAACCATTAAAGTAATCATAATAACTTTCACTATAATTTCGCAGTCTATTTTTTCATCAATTAATAAAACAAAGTCATATCTACACATTTCTACACTAGGGCATTTCATTTTGCTGCAATCCATACAAAAAAAATTTTATGTAATAAGAACTTTCTACAAAAATCTTGTTGAAATACTACACAGCAGTAATACCTTGTATTCTTCAGTGGGAGTGGTAACATCACTTCTCGACCCTGATGTTGACTTGATGGGAAACATTGTAGAAGCCAGAGCACCCAGGAACTCTGAACTCATACACACCGGGACAAAGTCTGGCTGGTTGTGGTACAAGAACAACAGGAACTGGAGCAAGGTCACTGGGTACACTCTTTCCCATGATGACTCATCTGCTTCTTGCCAACTCTAAAATTGTCACCATTTAGTTTACCTTATAAATCAGTTTTGCAGATACAAACTTGGAGAAATAGTATCATTTATAATTTGCTGATAAATTTAGAAGAACCGTGAATATAATGACAAAATTTAAATTATTTTAATTTTTATGCTGTAGATAAGTTCCTAGGCTTACCTGATTGAAGATGGCCCTGACCATGGCCAGAATACAGAAAGCAGCCTCTGGACAAAACTCTGTCTTGTGGTTCTTCAGGCTTGCGGCAGGTTGGCTGGCTGGCACTCCAAATATGTATGTCCACACTGAGTCTATGTCAAACTAAAATACAAGTATACTTTCTTTATTCTGAGTCACACATTATATATCAAGTCTATGCCAAACTAGGATGAAAACAGGCTTTAAAACTTGATTATGCTATGTTCTTTCAAGGCCAAATTTTAGGACGAACCTATCAGAACATCATGCCCTAAAAATGCACTATGTTCTTTGGGGATGAATTTTTATTCAACTTTTGAACAATGCTCCAGCTGAAACTAAATAAAGGGCGTTATAAATATTGACACTAAAGCAGATCTGATTTTGACCTCTTCTCCCTTACCTGTATGTCTAAGGGCAGTTCCTTTACTGGCTGTCCCAGTAGCAGTGACATCAACATAAGGTACAGTTCTGGTATATAGCAATGCTTTGGTAACAGTCCCTGCAGTAAAGTAAAGCCATGTATGTGGCACACATCTGTGTTGATTTCTCTCTTCTCTGTTTTCATTTTCCCAGAGCCAACATTAAAGCCTGCAAAAAATATTAGAGATAACATGAAATTATCATTTATACTGTGTTCACAGAAAGAGAAGAAAAACATTGCACATTCAATTATAAACTTTTTTTATGGAAATCCACATGGATGAAAAGCACTTTTTTAATTATTCCATCCTTATCAGTTATGTAAACCATGAACTTCTTTATTTTAGCACAATGTATGTTGTGATATTTCTACAAATTCCTGACCTTTAAAGGGATAATAACTCTTCGTTTTGGCCAAAAAATGAATTTTCCTGGAGTAAACAACAATTTTCCCACACTTATCAATGGTTAATGAATTCATTTTTACATTCAAAGTTAGTCTCTGGTTTTTTTCTAAAAAGTTTGTTTTTTTGTTAAAATCTCTTAACAGATTATAACAGAGTATAGCCATCAATGGAGGTCACATGGTCTGAAGACAAGCTCAGATATCAGAATAATAGCTATAACTGCTGTTTTTGTCATAACACAGAATATATTATATTTCTGTGAGTTATTCACAATGTTTTTATTGTGAAAAATAGACCTCATACGAAGAGTTATTATCCCTTTAACAAATAGACAAAATGAAATGAGAGCCAGCTTCATGCAGCAACTTAACTTACCAAGAAGCACTCCTAAACGATTTTCAAGGACAGCCTCAGTATCGTGTAACCAACCTCCTGCAAGCAAACCCTCACGAAACCTCTGGAGAGAGGTGGCATTTCCCAGCATTACCACCAAGATTTTGAATGCAAGAACCACTGTGGTTGGGTGAAGATTGCCTTGGAGAAACAGCATCAACCAATCAAAACCTAGAACTCTTTGGATTTCGTCAGACACTCTGAAACAGTAAAATGTCATACAATTAAAAAGAACATTTAGGAAAATAAAGCAAAGAAACAAATATATAAAGCAACCCCAAGTAAAAATTACAAGCTTGCAAAAATATAATTTAAACACAAGCTTGGACATTTAAAATCTCTAGCAAACAGTTAATACTTGTTCAAGAACCATTAATTATTTGAAATGGACAGAAAGGCATTTTCAAAGATCTTACTGCTGATTGACCATTCTGGGATTTGGCAAGTAAAGCAGCTTGAGTATTATCTGGAGTAAGTGGTTCCTCAGTTTTATCCTGTAGACAAGCACCTTTTCAGAGTTATCTGGAAGATCTGAAATAAAACACAGTGTTGTACATGTTCTTAAAAATCAGTCACTCTTAAAGCATGAAAAGTTATAAACACATGAAATCTTTTGCATATATTGCTGAAAAACAAAAGCTCACAATAACAAAAAGGACTTTTGTTACACATTATACGTGGCAAAAATAAACTGAAATAGACTGCGTGGACTTCCAATGCAGGTAAAAAAAATTCAAAATCACATATGATATCAGTAAATGTGAATAAATTTATAATGAAAAGAGTCTACTTGAAAGTCAGCATGACTCACCACTACCAACAGAATGCAATTCAGCCTCTCCTTCCAGTACTTCATCTCCCACCTTCTCCTCCAGACTGAGGTCCCCTTCCTTTGTGTTGACAGGGGGCAGAGTGGAGACTGCAAACTGGCCAAACCTATAGATACATATGGAGAGTATATAAAACAATACTATCCACTATAAGTGTTTACTGTGACAGAGGTGAGACTTTTTTGCTTCCAAAAAGTCAGAAAGCTGCCAATAGTGGGAAAATCTCATTACTTGTACTGTTGTAAGCACCAACACCATCCAGTTAGAACTCTGCTGATAGTATACAAACCTCATCCCTGTGTAGACTGCATTATAACATGTTCACCTACAACTAACAAGATCACTGCTCCAATTTTATTTTTTCATATTTTCATATTTTCTTCTTATTCAAATATCAAGATAATAGGAAAGGAATGATTTTAGATGTCCATCTTTTCTATCATCTGCAAGGAGGGGGAGTCTTTTGAATCTTCCTTAAGAACACATTGCTAAAATTGTATGTAATCAGAGAACATGACACCAAAAGTTAGGAGAAGACTTTATTATAATACCAACACTTACTTGAGCAGAGCTTTGGACTCCTGTGCACCTCTAAGTAATACTGTGAATACACTGGCAATGGTCTGGAGTGTGGCATCAGACAGGTTGGGGTCCGGCAGGATATACAACAGTTTCTGGACCAGACCAACCTCATGCATCAGCTTAAAGTTGGTTTTCTGCTCACTGAAATGAAGAAGAATTAGCTTTCATAATTATTATGTTCTGTTTGCTAACTATGTTCTTAAGAGAGTTTGGTTGCGACACAGTATGTTGTGCCAATTATACATTCTATGTACATACTCTTGTTCTGTCATTAAGTATTTCTATTCTTGATATATTTATAATGTATACCACATTGTTATACTGCACATGACCCACCTGGACTCAGTAAGCAGCTCGTAAAAGTGTTCATATAGTGATCTCTGGAGGTCTCCAGGAGCTTCATGCCACACCTGCAGTAAAACAAATCAAGACATATAGACATTTGAAAATTTTCTTTATATCTAAATAAATACTTTCTGTAAAGCTGATTAAAATTCTGAAATCGAATCTGCACACCTGTCAAACTAATTTATGACAGATATAACAACATAAAACTGGCCACGGCAAAATTCTATGATTGAATAGACTGAATAGCGTATACAGTATTAGTTTTTAGCCCATAAACACTAAATCAGTAAAAGAATACAATATAAGAAACTTCCATACTTGTAGATCACACAGAACATCCTCAAATGCAGTTTTATTTGGTATGACTGTAGTCTCCCTGCCACTGTCCACTGTGCCGACCAGTGAGAAGGTCAAGTGTAAGATGTGGCTGTTCAATAGATGGCGCTTCTTCTTGAACAGCATGGCCAACGTCTGTACAAGTATCATATGTCAGAGGTATTATTGTTAGAAAACTACCATCATAAATGAAGTTGTTTCATGGCAGATGTGCCAAAATTAACAGTTATCAAATCAATATAACTTAATTATGTGTAGAGTCCATTACCTAATAACCATGAAGGTAATACATTCTTGATTGTATTGAACTACCTACTTTATGAAAGCATTGCAATGCGGGTGGAATGTTTTTCTCATACCATATACACAGTTTGTTCACCATGTCTATGTAAATTGTGAAGTCATTAACCTTACAATACTGTCTTAACAAAAGTTACAAGATTCATACCTGGTAGCCTCTAGTTCTGTCCATCTCTCTCATGATGGAATCATTGCTCTTGACCACACAGACCAAAGCCTTTACAGCAGCATACAGTCCCTCCACGTCGTCTGCCATTGCTATCAGCCCCATCAGGAGAGACACACTGCCAATGTTCTCCAGTGTCTTTGCTACAGGCTTGGGGCAGAATGTTCTCACTCCTGGATGGAAAATGCATTATTTTTCGGTAATCAGAGTTTGAACTTATGAATCTTTATTCACATGACCAAATCGACATACTTTGATTCACAAGATCTTAGCTAGTGACTTACATCTGCCCATAATTTCATATTAATTTTTTTTTATCTGTATATAGTGTAATAACATCCTGATATAAAAATATCACATTTATTTCTACCTCCATCCCAAACACTCTTAATTATAACAAGTTTTAACAAGTATTAATTATTCTAATCTTAAAAAAAGTTGGGTAAAAATCTTGGATTGCCCCAATGTTATTATTGTTTGGTCAACACCATGATCCACTTCTAGTTTTCAAAATTCTACATGAAAAAATACCTTACAATCTGCCTTGTCTCACCTATATATCCCATGAGTATTGCCCCAAATGACCTAGCTGGTCCACTCAGGTGACCTGCAGCATTGTGGAGGATACGGATTGGTGTCACACTATCATGGGCAGACATGGAGAGCTGTGAAGAGATGAAAACATGATTTTATCTTTCTACTCTAAACAACTGTTTTTGCTTTTACTTTCTTTTGTAAGTCATATTATAATAAATTCACTTATATAATTGAAACTGGTTATTAAAAGTACCCTGTTGCCATAGCAACTTTCATTATTGAAACATTTTCTCCATGAAACAGAAGATAAAATGTACTCTTCTGGAATGTGGAAGTCATTTTAATAAATGAAGACTGTCATTTTTTTCAAACCCCCTCTTTAGTTTTTCTACAAATTTAATATCCATAAAACTCATTTATATATGCTGCTATGGCAATAAAATCAGAAGCCCAAACATATTTTTAATGGGAAGAACATGCTTATTTTGTTTCAAAGGCATTTCTGCCTGCCTACAAAAAGCTGCTTTAATTAATTAGTGATTAAATAAAAACCTATTTGTCAGACAAAAAAAGGCTAATCTGGTACCACTTGATTTATTTATTTGTTTATTTTTTCAGTTAAAAAATGAAAAAATAGTATCATCATGTTAAACATTTCACATCGGCAGCCAGGCAGCAATTATCAGCATAATTATTCACTTAAGCAAAGATACAAAGTTCAAGGCAAAAGCCATTCATTTGTAAAATAATTTTAAAAAAATACCAGGTGCATTTCTTAATCCTGTCATGGCATTAGTATCCTGAAGAAATTTGTAAAATTGTCAAAACCTGAAGTGGATTCCACAGATTTTCTTCTGTTCAATACCTTCAATTATTTGATATAATAAAACCTCAGATCTAAAACTGTAAAAAAAAATTGTCGCTTAGGACAATTTTTTTGCAAAATTCAGTAAAAAGGCAATAAAATCAATTTTTTTATGTTTCTTAGCCAAGCAGCAATCTTGTGTAATATTGCTCAGTAAAGCAAGCATGGAATAAAGGAAAATAATTCAATTTCAAGGCAAGAATATTTATTCCTAATGATAAAAAAATACCTGTCACCTTTCTACAGTCCTTAATTATGGCAACATAATCAGAAACTTGCTCCCAATTCTAAAATGGTAAAAATGCCATTTCACTCCTTAAATATTCTTTTATTTCCTTTGTGAACATTATCAGTTTTATGTTCAAGATCATAGCATTCATGTCTACCATCCTGGTATCAATTTGGCAATTTTCAAAATATTTTATTTTCAATAAAATATATCAAAAACAGCTTGATTAGTACTGTCATAAATTCTAGAGAGTAAACCAGCTTGGTAAGCATTTCCTTGCAAAATTATATATGCAATCAACTCTGTAATAACAGGGCCACCTACTTATACATCTTAAGCAAAAGGCACAGCGGCTAATCAAAAAGGTACTTTAAAATGGTAGATTCAGAATGTTAAGAAGGCAGAGTCCTGTAACATTGATCTGCATCCCCACCCATTCCTGCCTTTGAACCACATAACATGGTTCTATGACGATTAAATATATGTGATAATTCACTATACCACAAGTACCCGTTTCAAGTGCAGTTAAAGCATTCAAAGGCAATCCATCTGTCTGCCACGTTGTTGTGAATGTAATGTGTGAATTTCCAAGAGCACTATAAACCCCACAAATTTGTCCTTCACTAGAAAATGTCCCCATTACCTGTTTAGCAATGGTCTTGGCATCATTCTTGTTGTAAACTTTCCTGATCTTGGCAATGGTAAGATTGGAGACAGGCTGCACATATACTCCAAATATGACCCTGTCCTCAGACACCAGTGGCTGGCCTATCTCACTGTCATCTGTAATAAAACCAGCAAATATAACCAAAAGCTGTATCATTTACTTACTATGTAAAATCTACCTTAACTGTCATTCTAGAGCAACTATTAATATTCAAGTTGTCCAGAAAGTAAGCATCCAGCTTATTCTTGGAGAAACAAAGGAAATATCTTAACAAGTCCCTAACAACACCCTTTTTAACCAACATACCAAATGAAGGTGCCTGGAAGCAGCCCACATAGTTAGGCCCCAGTTGATATATGGTCTGCACTGCTGACTGTGATATCACATCCTCAAACAGGTGACATGGCCCCTGTCTCCAGACCAGCCTGGACTGCTTCCTGATCACTGGGGGAGTCCCAATGTAAGCAAACACGGAGGTGATGGCAGAGGGGCTGGCTGTGCCCCCTACTCCAATATTGGGGGATATGTAGTGAAGCTGTGGATGGATTGAAAAGAGGGTTGATAAGATGTAATTTTTATGTTCATCATTAAGTGATAAAACATTTGAAATCAAATAGGAAAAAAACATGCTAAATACATTGCTTCATGAGATGGTTTCCTTTATGAAGGCACCCTTCAGGTCATAACCCTACTCTATGTCAATGCAGGATTAAAACAAACTATCTAGCAGATAGATTCTATTTTAGTATCACAAAGAGATAATTTATCCAAATATTGTACACATAGGTGCTGATATATCATAAGATTGGAAGACTATTGATGCACCAACCTTGCTTGTATTGACAGGTTCTCCATCAACAAACACGCTAACATTGCTGTTTTTGAGCATGCCTGCCTTGTTGAATAACAACACCAGGTGGTGCCACTGTCCTTCCTGTGTCAACTCAGGACACCAGATACGAACCGTGTTGTCCCCCAACTGTGGGTCACGGTCAAATGTTGCTCCACCTGTAGATGAAAGAAAATGTTGAAAATTCTATGCTTTTTACCAAAACATTAAATCTCCTTGAGAGTTTTCATTAATTTTAATTGCACATTATGTCTTCATAAATATTAAATAAAGTTTATTTAAAATGTCAGTTATCAATAAGAACCCATTTGATTTGTATGTTTATGCCCTAATATGAAGTTTAAAACTTCTATCACTTTACTCAACAAAAGAGCACTCAAACACAATTGCATGATTTTTTAATGCTCAGATGCCTAATATAATCACTTAAATATGACACAATCTTTATCAATTAAACACAAAGAAAATCTTATCATTGTGAAAAAAGAGCATGAAGAGGATAATATAAATCAGAATATTAAATGAAATGCATACTTTTGCGCGAATGTGCCTTGAGCTCAGCCTCACTGGAGGCAGTCATGATGGTCTCCCTGGTGGACACAATCAAGGCCCTGTCCCTGGGGTGCAGTAGTATACTGAGACACACAGAGCTCTCCTCTCTCCCCTGGACATTCCTGACCACGGTCAGCAGGCGGACAGGGTGAGCCTCAGAGGCAGAGTTGGTGCTGAACTTGTCCACACATATCCAGGTGGAGTAGGTCAGCCCTGCCTGTGGGGGGAATACACGTTCTCCTGGAAATAATAGCAGAAATAAGAGATGGAACCAAGTGTTGTCTTTCCTGAAATATATGTCTCTTGCTATGATATTTACAATGATACACTTATTTTATTCAAACAAATATTCATATTACATTACCACCAGCAACTATTCAGGGTCAATAAATCTCACTTTGTGGACTGGTAATTTTAAAGATGCTTTGCACAATGATACAAACACTGAAATTGAAAATATCAGTTCACAAAAAAGGAATTACGTAAGACATCTTACTCAGGGTTAACCAATGCCATTTTGGTGATAAAATTACCTGCTCCAATCCCTCCAAGTACTGCTGAGTCCCCTGTGCTCCCCATCCCCATGCCTACCACTGAGGGTGTGGGTGGCCCCTGGGGTGCTATACTGGGCAAATACAGGCAGCCAAACCCCTCAACATTCATATCAAACTGCACAAAAGGTGGGGTAACTAGGGAGCCATGGAAACGCACATCTCTAGGGGTTGTCATGGAAACCAGGCACTTGACCCTGGTCAATGGCACCAGTTTCCCTTCATGTTTGCCTCTTTTGACACCTAATGCTGCTGTTGATGAGGAGGAGGAAGAATCTTCTGTGTGGTCAGGGCTGTCTGGATCCTCCTTGCTGTCAGGTTCCTCTATTGGTGCACAGCTAAGTGGGTTGCCAAGACGCATGAAATCTCTGAAATGACATCAATAAGAAAGAATCAGTGCTTTCCAGGAGTGGATCCAGAGATATTTTTTGATGGTATTCCAAATTATCTTTGTTGATCCATCCTCCATTTTTGATGGTCTTCCAACAGAAAAAAATAGATACCCGTCAATGTAAACTTTAAACTCCAGAAGACCCAGAAGACGGTCTCAATCCGCCCCTGCTTTCCTATCTATCACCTATAGAAAAAAATTCCAAAAGCTACCCTTGGTTATTCACAAACACTGTACACTTAATTTTACTCTTTTAAGTAAAACAGATTCTTTTATAAATATTATGAAGAACACAGAACATTTCCAATCACTGTCTGCTTTTTAGTATAATATTTGGTAGTGTAATTTTCATATTACAACATTTTTCAAATTACAAAAGAAAAGTAGTCACTTAATCGTGACTATAATCCAAATTAAAAAACATAACTTACCTCAAATCTTTAGGTGTAAGAGACTGAGCTGCCAACCTCTCAAACATGTACTGCAGAGGAGGATGTAGAGGGTGACTCTCATCCTCCAGAGCTACAGTGCACTTACTGAGGAGTTCATGGGGCATGTCTGCTTCACACATCACCTGTTGGTTCCGTTCACTACGCAGGAGAGACTTGAGCACAGAAGCCACATGAACCTGGAGGTCTAGGACCAGCTGTAAGATACAAAATATACAAGTGTAAACAGGGCTGGATAAGCTGAAGTGTGTCTTGTAGTATATGGTACAAAAGTCTCTAGTGTGGAAGTCATAACAGTCAGTGCTTTGGCCACATAGTTTAAGTACTAATCAAGTAGAAATAAGCATTACTTAGTAGTTGAATAAAGCATCCCAAAAATTGGTATCAGTGAACAATATCGCAAATTTGGTTGACAACTACATCTTAAATTTGGAAGGACTGATCAACAAAATTTAAATTTAAATTGTGTTTATATAATCATGCTTGTGCTCTGCTTTAACTAATCACCTAAGAAAACATCATCTAAGAAAACAAACCCTATACCTGAGCATCATCTTCAAAACTCACAGCTGGCAGCAGGTGCAGCATTGATATGACTGCCCCAGAGTGGACAATGACCGGGTCAGGCTTGATCTCGGCCAGGGACAGGCTGACATTGACGCTACCTGTGCTGGCACGTTTGGGGGAGGAGGAAAGTTGAGAGGGAGGGGCAGTGGACTCCTTTAGAGAGGGCACCTTCTTCACAGACTTGGGGCTCTCGTTGCCAGCCACGCCTCCTCCTGAACTGTCAAAGCGGTATCTGAAATCAGATTTGCAACTGTCTGAACTAAAAAGAAATGAATTCTCTAACATACTTGTTTGTTGTACAATTTGTCTGCTACTGAGTGTAAAATAATGTTACAATATAGAATGAGTACATTGATTAGACTGCAAATGCCAATGCTAAAAGTCAAAATAAATTCAGTTGCAACATTTGTGTTTTTGTTCTTCACGTCCAATAGGCTTGGTGCTGAAATTATTTCAGGCAAGAAGTATTAACATCTATGAAAATGGCAAAATAATTTTGTGTCAAAGTTTAATCAATGTATTTTTACCTGTCAAAAGCATCTAAGACCATATCGTGCATGAACCTGATCATTAAGCAAGCAGACTGAAGGATTCTTGGCATGGTGGGACACCTGAAAAAAGAGTAATGAAAATTTTGTTTAAAGAACCACATAAAAATAAAGAAATGGATAAAACAATTATAGATTTCTATAAGATCTTAACTTTGCATCAAACTTTCATAATGATATAACAGAAAAGAAAACCATTCCCAACCCTGATCCATATTTAATATAAATCTCCCCAACGTGACTTACTTTTCTTCACTTAGAGTATTAAAGAACTCCTCAAATGGCTGAACTTCACTTGGTGTCATGTTTGCTGCTGGTTTTTCCAAGAATTTTTGACTCGAGAAGCACCCCAACAGTCTCACTGCATTTGTCAGGCTACTGTATTGCACCTGATATATTATATGAATAAGAACTGGCATTAACATAAGTCCATGTCTAATAAGTATAAAGTTCTTCAAGAGTTCTACATAAATTTTTGAATACCCATGTATAAACAAGATACTGGGCTGAAAAGATATGTCAAAAGTATGAGTAAATTGAACTGCTAATGCATCAGTAAGTTACTTTCAAGATTATGCATAAATTATACATAAAACTACACTTACATCAGTTGCAAAAAATTTGGCATTTGCAGGTTCATATCTCATAGCCACTGTCAGTACACTGAACACCAGTTTCAAGAGTGTAAGAACATCTTTTCTCTCAGCTGAAAGGTAAAACAATGTATTGTGAAAATAAGGTAAGGAAAAAAACTAATCAAACTTTAGCACTCTTTATTATCAATATCCTACCCTAAAAATACAAAGTCTTTATTATATTTTTTTTTACACACTGGATGCAAATTCACATCATAGCTATGGCCCCGAGTCCACTGAAGCACTTCAATAGTGCCACTGACATTTTCCTAATTTTCATATCATCATTCTCTCCTGAAATCCATGACCATGCTATGTCTTGATAATTAATGTCTGACACATCCCCTGCAGACACAATATCCTATTTGTTATGGCGCGCGCGCGCACGCACGCACACGCACACAACATTCCAGAATTACCTGTTTCCCAAGGGGACTTTGGTGGCTCTGCCAAGCACCCCTCCATAGACACCAACACTGACATCACATACACAAAGCCACCCACTTTCCTGAACACTGTCCTAGTACGATGGCTCTCACGCAGTACTGACAGCAAGGACTGTTGAGACAAAAAACAAATTCAAATAAATAGGTTTTTTATTTTGATTGTTTACAAACAATATAATTTTTATTAGTCTCAAAAGATGGTGTCTTAAACTATTCCAGTCTTTCCAGAAAAAGTTGCTTTCTGACAATGCCATTTTAAAAGAAGCCTAAAAATCTTAACTTTTCCTTCCTCACATTTTTTTTCCGAGTGCCCTCTAATGATTTATCCTAATTATATAGAACAAGCAACCCTTTTAACTGCCGCCTTTTTCTACCATGTTGGAAAAAATTCACTCACCTTGAGTATATGTGTCTTCAACTCCAGTGCTATGACAGGGGCAGTGTGCATTAACCCCAGTAATGTCCCCATGTCATCGTCACCACCAGAGGACAGCACCAGCTGCTGGACAATACCCAGTGCCTGCTGGCGACACTCTGGGTAGGGCACCATGTTGTGAGCACAGCGCGCACCGCCACACTCTCTGAATACACCTGAGGAATAAGTGAATAGGCAGTGTATTGATACACTAATTGGTACATTTGGGAAAACATCTGTAAAACTTTTTCATGTTTTTTCTCCTATTAAAACAAAACAAGCATTATAACACAAAAAGAAATAATATAATCCAAAGATGTGTAATCAAGCAATGGACATGACAAAAAAGAAGAGAAAAACTGGACAAATAGTTCAATTTTGCTTATTCATCATGTGACAAAAAAGGAAATGGATAACCATCCTTCTTGGATGTAGAAAAAATTTACATTTCACAAAAATGATTGTAGTCACAATAATAATCAGAAGATTATAATCATTTCTATTCTTACCAGCATTATTGGAATTTCCACTCAGGAGTACAGATAATGCTTCCATAGACAAGAACCCCAACTCTTTTTGACTGTCTGATATTTTGTCCTTGGCTGTAAGGAAAAAGATCATAAATGAATGGAGCAAAAAAAAATACAAAGTTAATCTAGGTCACACAATTTTAATTGATAAGTGGTGATATCATCTGGATCTTAACTAAAACATTTTCATCTTTTTAGTGAGTCCATTCATTCTTGCAACTATTTCTATTAACGAATGTAGATGTCTTGAATGACTTATTTAATTGTATCTCTTGCATAAGAAAAACTGTATTGCTAACTGCTGTCCATGTAGTATAGTGTTACTAAAAATAATATTATTTATCCATTATCCAAGCAGAACATTTTAACTGAAGTTTTCAACTTTGCAAAATGTATGCATTTTATTTATTTATTTCATTTCACTAATTTGACATGACTTATACAGTGTTCATTCTAGGATGCGCCCTTGCGTCATTGGCGCAGAAAAAATTAGGTTGACGCAATTCCTAGAGTGAGCTGCGCCAACAAAATTCAAGAGAATTAACAGCGGCGCATTTTTGTGTTCTAAACACGCCCTCTAATTCGGCAAATTCACGACCGAAGTTTGATTGTTTACTCGACATCTCTTGACATCAAGATCTTATGTTCGACGTAATGAAGATATTCTTTGCTCGTCGCAGTTTTTAACAAATATCTTAATTTATGCTGACGTCATGCTTTTTATGCAAATCAGTGGCGATCGCCCCTCCTTTCTTGAATCCCTGATAGGCTGAGATTAATTGTCCATGTAAATCAATTGATCAACCCGTACTTTATACATGATGGCGGAGAAGAAGCAAAGTGTTATTTTAAGTTTTTTTAAGAAAGTCGATCCCAAAGATCACCCTAAAACGGATCAGAATAGTAGCGACGGAGACAATGATCATACACAGCAGACATTTCCACCGGAGAAGAGAGCTAAAGTAGATGTATGTGCTGCTGTCACGACTTCTGATACCGTGTCAACTAGCAATGCAACTTGAAGGTCATTCCAAAAAAAGTGGAGAGATACTTACAAGTGGCTTGTATACGACAATAACGCGAACTTGATGTATTGCAGCTGATGTGTTGAAAAAAAGAAGGACAATATATTTTTTCAAGGGACTAATAACTTTCGAACCAGTACCCTTATGCGCCATGAGACATCTAAAGACCACAAGCTTGCCATACAAGAAACGTCGGAATCAGCTCAAGCTAAACAAGCTTTTTGCAGAGCTTTAGAAGGTAAGATATTATTTTTTGTCAATATTTATTTGTAACACGGAGCATGAGCCATCAAAGTGACACTAGTGTACGTTGTTGATTATCGTGACGGTCCCGGACCCACGTGTTGTAGTTATATTTGTGTAGGTTGAAGAACTCTCGAAAGTGCATTCTGGGATATCGCAATGCTGAACAACTATGTAAACGATGCGTTTGCTGCGTAGCATTGACACAGGGCGTTACGCTCATGTTTTTTCCCTGAACATTATTTTTTGTATATATATAGATAAAATTTTCACATTCATTTTTCATAATTTTAGTGTGTCGAGAGATTTGGTCTCTGTTCATGGTGATTAAGGGAAAAAAAAAAATAATGTTTGCAGGTACCTTCAACACTATTTAGCATTTTATGCAGGTTATAATGTCCAAATTCAAATTTAAAGTAATGTTTATAAAACATTTTTAGGTAAAGATGGAGCAATCATGTCAGCAATGAAGTCCGTGTACTGGCTAGTTCAAGAGGGCATAGCAATTCGAAAGTTTGGAAGCCTAATAGAGTTGCTACGGCACCTGGATTGCCCCAACCTTTCATACTTAGACCAAGGAGACAATGCAAAGTATAATTCTGATACAGCAGGGTGGGATATGGTTGCTGCTATTGCTGCCACAGTTGAGGAAGACTTGCTTCAGAAAATGAAGTCTTCACCATTTCTAACAATACTAGCAGACGAGAGCACTGATATAACAGTAACAAAAAAGTTGGTTATATGTGTCAGACTTTTAGATGATAACTTTGTTCCTTCTACCCACTTTGTAGCCGACATAAATGTCACAGGTTGCAAGGGTGCCACAGTTGCAGCAGCTATCAAAGACTATCTTAAATCAAAGGAGATCCCCCTTAGTAAGATATATGGTTTTGGTTCTGATGGTGCAGCGACCNAGAAATGGATTTTTACATGAACATTGTCCTTTAAATCTCCTTGAGTGTTTTCATTAATTTTAATTGCACATTATGTCCTCATAAATATTAAATAAAGTTTACTTAAAATGTCAGTTATCAATAAGAAACCATTTGATTTGTATGTTTATGCCCTAACATGAAGTTTAAACTTCTATCACTTTACTCAATAAAAGAGCACTCAAACACAATTGCACAATTTTTTAATGCTCAGATACCTAATATAATCACTTAAACTATGACACAATCTTTATCAATTAAACACAAAGACAATCTCATCATTGTGAAAAAAGAGAATGAAGAGGATAATATAAATCAGAATATTAAATGAAATGCATACTTTTGCGCGAATGTGCCTTGAGTTCGGCCTCACTGGAGGCAGTCATGATGGTCTCCCTGGTGGACACAATCAAGGCCCTGTCCCTGGGGTGCAGTAGTATACTGAGACACACAGAGCTCTCCTCTCTCCCCTGGACATTCCTGACCACGGTCAGCAGGCGGACAGGGTGAGCCTCAGAGGAAGAGTTGGTGCTGAACTTGTCCACGCATATCCAGGTGGAGTAGGTCAGCCCTGCCTGTGGGGGGAATACACGCTCTCCTGGAAATAATGGCAGAAATAAGAGATGGACCCAAGTGTACATTTCATGAAATATATGCCTCTTGCTAGGATACTTACAATGATACATTTATTCTATTCAAACAAATATTCACAATTCATGAACATGACCATCAGCAACTATCAGGGTCAATAAATTTCCCTTTGTTGTTTGGTCATTTGAAAGATACTTGGGACAAAGATACAAACACTACAATTGAAAATATAAGTACATTAAAAAGGAATAACATAAAACATCTTATTCAGGGTTAAACAATACCATTTTGGTGGTAAAATTACCTGCTCCAATCCCTCCAAGTACTGCTGAGTCCCCTGTGCTCCCCATCCCCATGCCTACCACTGAGGGTGTGGGTGGCCCCTGGGGTGCTATACTGGGCAAATACAGGCAGCCAAACCCCTCCACATTCATATCAAACTGCACAAAAGGTGGGGTAACTAGGGAGCCATGGAAACGAACATCTCTAGGGGTTGTCATGGAAACCAGGCACTTGACCCTGGTTAATGGCACCAGTTTCCCTTCATGTTTGCCTCTTTTGACACCTATGGCTGCTGTTGATGAGGAGGAAGAATCTTCTGTGTGGTCAGGGCTGTCTGGATCCTCCTTGCTGTCAGGTTCCTCTATTGGTGCACAGCTAAGTGGGTTGCCAAGACGCATGAAATCTCTGAAATGACATCAATGAGAAAAAAAATCAGTGTTTTTCTGTGTAGTACATATCCAAAGCAAAACAAATTCCTCTTGGGCATTCACAAATATTGCTCATTTAATTTTAATCCTTTTAAGTAAAATAGATTCTTTTATAAATATTATGAAGAACTCAACACTGTTTATCATTGTCTGTTTTTAAGTATAACATTAAGTTGCACAATTTTAAAACCACAATATAAAAGATTTATCAATTACAAAAGAAAAATAATCTTTTTAACCATGACTATAAAGCATATTTAAATACATGACTTACCTCAAATCTTTAGGTGTAAGAGACTGAGCCGCCAGTCTTTCAAACATGTACTGCAGAGGAGGGTGTAGAGGATGACTCTCGTCCTCCAGAGCTACAGTGCACTTACTGAGGAGCTCATGGGGCATGTCTGCTTCACACATCACCTGTTGGTTCCGTTCACTACGCAGGAGAGACTTGAGCACAGAAGCCACATGAACCTGGAGGTCTAGGACCAGCTGGACGGTAGAAAACATGTAAGTTTAAACAGTGCAGGATAAGGTGAAGTGTGTCTTGTATTATATGGTTCAAAAGTCTGACCAAAAAGTACTTATTAAGTAGAAATAAGCATAACTTAGTAGTTAAATAAAACATGCCAAAAATATGGTATCAGTGAATAATGTCAGAAATTCTGGTTGACAATTACATTTTAAATTTGGAAAGACTGATCAAAAAAATGTTCTTGTAGGTTGTATTTAACTTAACTTTACCTATTCAAGAAAACAAACCCTATACCTGAGCATCATCTTCAAAACTCACAGCTGGCAGCAGGTGCAGCATTGATATGACTGCCCCAGAGTGGACAATGACCGGATCAGGCTTGATTTCAGCCAGGGACAGACTGACATTGACACTACCTGTGCTGGCTCGTTTGGGGGAGGAGGACAGTTGAGAGGGAGGGGCAGTGGACTCCTTTAGAGAGGGCACCTTCTTCACTGACTTGGGGCTCTCGTTGCCAGCCACGCCTCCTCCTGAACTGTCAAAGCGGTATCTGGAATCATATTTGCAACTGTCTGAACTAAAAAGAAATGAATTCTCTTACATACTTGTTTGTTGTTCAATTTATGTCTGCTACTGAGTGTAAAATAATGTTGCAATATAGACTGAAACGTACATTGCGAAGACTGTAAATGCCAATGCTAAAAGTCAAAATAAATTCAGTTGCAACATTTTATTTTTGTTTTTCAGATCCAAAAGGCTTGGTGCTGAAGTTATTTTCATGCAAAAATATTAACATCTATGAAAATGGCAAAATAATTTTGTGTCAAAGTTTAATTAATGTATTTTTACCTGTCAAAAGCATCTAAGACCATATCGTGCATGAACCTGATCATTAAGCAAGCAGACTGAAGGATTCTCGGTATGGTGGGACATCTGGAAAAAGAGTAATGAAAATTTTGTTAAAAGAACCACATAAAAATAAAGAAATGGATAAAACAATCAAAGTTTTCTTTAAGATCCTAACTTTCCATCAAACTATCACCATGATATCACAGAAAAGAAAACCACCCCCTAACCTGAACCATACTTTACATACATCTCCCCAATGTGACTTACTTTTCTTCACTTAGAGTATTAAAGAACTCCTCAAATGGCTGAACTTCACTTGGTGTCATGTTTGCTGCTGGTTTTTCCAAGAATTTTTGACTCGAGAAGCATCCCAACAGTCTCACTGCATTTGTCAGGCTACTATATTGCACCTGATGTATTATATGAAAAAGAACTGGCATTAACATAAGTCCATATCTATTAAGTATAAAGTTCTTCAAGAGTTCTACGTAATTTTTTTAAAACCAATGTATAAATCAGATACTGGGCTGAAAAGATATGTCAAAAGTATGAGTAAATTGAACTGCTAATGCATCAGTAAATTACTTTCAAGATTATGCATAAATTATACATAAAACTGCACTTACATCAGTTGCAAAAAACTTGGCATTTGCAGGTTCATATCTCATAGCCACTGTCAGTACACTGAACACCAGTTTCAAGAGAGTAAGAACATCTTTTCTCTCAGCTGAAATGTAAAACAATGTATTGTGAAAATAAGGTAAGGAAAAAAACTAATCAAAATTTATCACTCTTTATTATCAATATCCTACCCTAAAAATAAGTCTTTATTATATTTTTTTTACACACTGGATGCAAATTCACATCATAGCTATGGTCCTCTTTATTATATTTTTTTTACACACTGGATGCAAATTCACATCATAGCTATGGCCCCGAGTCCACTGAAGCACTTCAATAGTGCCACTGACATTTTCCTAATTTTCATATCATCATTCTCTCCTGAAATCCATGACCATGCTATGTCTTGATAATTAATGTCTGACACATCCCCTGCAGACACAATATCCTATTTGTTATGGCACGCACGCGCGCGCACGCACGCACGCACACACAACATTCCAGAATTACCTGTTTCCCAAGGGGACTTTGGTGGCTCTGCCAAGCACCCCTCCATAGACACCAACACTGACATCACATACACAAAGCCACCCACTTTCCTGAATACAGTCCTTGTACGATGGCTCTCACGCAATACTGACAGCAAGGACTGTTGAGACAAAAAACAAATTCAAATAAATAGGTTTTTTATTTTGATTGTTTACAAACAATATAATTTTTATTATTCTTTTAAAGAAGTTTTAAAATCTTAACTTTTACTTCCTCACATTTTTTGGCTGAGTGCCATCTACTGATTTATCCTACTTATATAGAACAAGCAACCCTTTTAACTGCCTTTTCCTACCATGTTGGGAAAAAACCACTCACCTTGAGTATATGTGTCTTCAACTCCAGCGCTATGACAGGGGCAGTGTGCATTAACCCCAGTAATGTCCCCATGTCATCGTCACCACCAGAGGACAGCACCAGCTGCTGGACAATACCCAGCGCCTGCTGGCGACACTCTGGGTAGGGCACCATGTTGTGAGCACAGCGTGCACCGCCACACTCTCTGAATACACCTGAGGAATAAGTGAATAGGCAGTGTATTGATACACTAATTGGTACATTTGGGAAAATAACTGTATAATTTTTTTATGTTATTTCTCCCATTAAAACAAGCATTATAACACAAAAAGAAAGTGTAATATAACCCAAAAATGTGTAATCAAGCAATGGACATGGCAAAACACAAAGGGCAGAAGACAAAAACTAGCCAAATAGTTAAATTTTGCTTATTCAGCATGTGACTAAAAAAGAAATGGATAATCATCCTTCCTGGATGTAGAAAAATTTATTTTTCACAAAAATGATTATAGTCACAATAATAATCAGAAGATTACAATAATTTCTATTCTTACCAGCATTATTGGAATTTCCACTCAGAAGTACAGACAATGCTTCCATAGACAAGAATCCCAACTCTTTTTGACTGTCTGATATTTTGTCCTTGGCTGTAATGAAAAAGATCATAAATGAAGGGAACACATTCTTGCAACTATTTCTATTAACGGATGTAGATGTCTTGAATGACTTATTTAATTGTATCTCTTGCAGAAGAAAAACTGTATTGGTAACTGCTGTCCATGTAGTATAGTGTTACTCTAATAATAATATTATTTATCCATTATCCAAGCAGAACATTTTAACTGAAGTTTTCAACTTTGCAAAATGTATGTATTTTATTTATTTATTTCATTTCACTAATTTGACTTGT